GTTTTTTTTTCACAAAACAATCACAGATGTCTAACAAACTTATTCCTCAGGTATTTATTTATTTATTAAAAGTTTAAATATTGTTATCATACTTCACATAATTGTTTATAAAGTTAACCAACTTTATACTGTTACATACAAGTTTAATCCTTTTCAAACCTACCTTTCAAGTGCTAAAAGTGACTTCAAAAGGTTCTTCCTTCGATACTAGAAACCCTCATCCATGTTGCACACAGTAACCTGCTGTTGGTGACCATGACAGCAGCTACAGGACAGTGGAAGAGGTCTTCACGAAACAGTCAATATATCTTAGGAGTGAACTTAAGTACTTCCCTTCTTCAATGAATAAGCTTCACTGAAATGGTTGTGACACATGATTTCTTTTCAGTTGCTGAAGAGAAACTGAACTTTGTATGCTTGAAAGCAAAATTCCAAGCTGAGGAGGAATGATAGTCTCTGTTAATGTCATGCTAAAATTTGAGTGACTGTCTGATATGTTAACTAAAAATGAGCATGTCTAAGTGTCCAGTTTCATTCCTGAGAAACTTTAATGTCCAAATGTTTTTTATTTTCCCCCTAAGAAAAATTTCAAGTTGAGTTGTTTTATAACAATAAATTGAGTTCCATGTTCATGACCTTAAGTGATGGAAACAAAAATACTTTTATTGAATGTAGTATTAATACAGTCAGGCAACAAAATATGAAAGACAATAAAAGTTACCACAAATTGTGTCACTGAATCAATTAAAAAAAAAAAGTTAAACTTACAGGATTTGGCTAAAGTCACAAATAAACCATTCATATTTTTAGACAAGTTACGTACTTATTAATGGACACACCAATCATTAACGTATATATAAAAAGTCATGAACAATCATAAATTTTCTACGAAGGAACTTGCCAATCATTAATTTGACAGAAAAATCACATCAATTACTGATAATATAGGGAAATTATTTACCAATTATTGATCAAAAACATTGTGAATCATAAAATGATAATATAGAATCAATGAATCGTACCAATCGTGGGTTTATAGATTAATAATGTCTTGATCACAAAATTTCTAAAGTCATGGACGAAGCACTCAGATTTATAAATAGAAGTGATGTAAAATTCATACAACTCATAAATCATAGTATATAACCAAAGAAGTCTCAATTTCTAACTGACAACGGCCTGTAAGATGAATGTTTTGTATCATACATTGCTTCTGGCACTTGACACACTCGCATACTGGTGGACAAGTTTGATTCATCTACAGTAGCTTGAAGGTTACATTTCTAACTGCAAGCATCTGTATTAACTTTTTTAAACTACCACGAGTGAGTATTACCCTATTATTAAAGATCAGATGGCCTGGCAAAGCATTATATCTAGCAAGATAAAAAATAATTTATGAGAAACAATACATAATAAACATTAACTTTGAAACAAGGGGGATTAAAATTAGCAGGGATCTAGAAACACCCTTTGATTTATCCAATTCATTTTCTGATGATTTGTAAGTTCACTTTATCCTATAAGTTAAAAACAACAGCTATGCATCTTTCCAAGAAAACCACTAACAAAATAAAAAATATATATAAAACCAAACTAAAACAAAAATGGTCATATTAAACCAGTTCTTGTTTTTAAATAACTTGTACCCTCCCAAACAACATCTTTGAGTATACAGATAAAAGATACATTTCTTTGAGGGTGGGGGTGGTACAACAGACTAATTTAGAAACAACATTTTAAATCTTATCCTCCTTATGAAGAAAATAGAAAACTTTGATAAAAGTTCACCACTGAGCACCAGTTATAAGTACAAAAACAGAGAAGCACCATCTGTGCTTGCGAAATCTGGAAGTTGACTAATACGTTTTCTATGGAATACCAACAAAATTTGGTTTTATTTATTGGCAAAAACAGCAGATATATCCACAAAGATCGTACAAAACTGTGATTTTTCTTAACCATTTAATGAATATCATGGTTTTTTGGGGTTTTTTTACTATAATCCTTACAAAAGTTACCTCACATAAAATAGTACTGGATGAATTTATAAAACTTTTTGTTACTGTATGATCAGAAGTAAAAATAATTACTGGAATGTTTCGTAGACTTGAAGTATAAAAATATCTTAAAGAACACTTATTATGTTGAATTAAATTCCAGCTAGACTTCCCTATCTTGAAGAACACTTAGTATGTTGAATTAAATTCCAGCTGGACTTCCCAGTACACGGCCAACTACACACACCAACTGAAGCTTGAATTCCTAGCACAGGGCCAGCTACACACAAACAAACTGAAGCTTGAATTCCTAGCACAGGGCCAGCTACACACACACACAAACTGAAGCTTGAATTCCCAGCACAGGGCCAGCCACACAAACACAACTGAAGCTTTAATTCCCAGCACAGGGCCAGCCACACACACACCAACTGAAACTTTAATTCCCAGCACAGGGCCAGCCACACACACACTAA